GGTCTGGGATGCATAAAAGCATTTCCTTCGCTATACAAAAAAAAAAAGACTCATGCACATATGCATATACAAATATATATGTAAAATCCATATATATACAACAAATACTTACATATATGCCCATACATATATATCCAACAAACATAAACATGTATATATATATACATATACACATATACATATATATATATATACATACATACATATATATATATATATTTATATATATATATATATATATAACATAAAAGAAATGTTAGGAAGTATTGCGCATATTGAAAAAATTATTCGAAGCATCGCGGTAAATATTGCAAAGAGAAGCCGAATCAAAACGTTTGTTAATCGTAGGTAATATTTGTATAAAAATACTCTCAGCGAACTTCCTGCGTAAAGTGTTGGCTTCTCGATGAATAATTCTTGGATTGGTGAAATTAAAAAAATGTTTAAAATTGGAGACGTGTTCGGTGATCATGGTTTTATTTTGTTTCCTGTTAAGACTATTAAGTTCGTGTTGGCGCATTCTTTTTGAGAGAAATTGTGAAGTTTCTCCAACATAACAACTTGAACAATCATTACAATCAAAACAAACAACAATTACAATATATACAGTGGCGTCGGAACCGTGTGGGCTGTGTGGGCTTGAGCCCACCCATAAATTTTGATGGGGGGGCTCAGCCCACCCATCAATTTCAAAAAATTATATGGGCTAATATCTCTAAAAAAAAAATGAGACTACTGGCAGCCTATCTAAAAAAAAAAAAAAAAACGAGCCCACCCATCAAAAATTTGGTTCCGACGCCCCTGAATATATATATATATATATATATATATATATATATATATATATATATATATAAGAGCGTTAGCGATGTCCATTTTCGATTGAAAATATAGACAAACTAGTGGTTTATGGCAACGCGCCTTAAGGCAAACTTCCCGTACTGCAATTTATAATTTTTATTAGCTCAATCAAAATTAGATTTTTTTAAGAATTTTGAAAATTTTTGATCATTTTTGAAAATTATGAAAACATTTGAAAAATTTGAATATTGAAAAAAATGCCCTTTTTGTAAATAGTGAAAACTAAAATTTTTATTTTTTTTTTTATTTTGAAAACTTTGAGTTTTTAATACCCATTTATATCAGTTGATTCAAATTACAAAATATCTTATGATCGACCGCCTATTGGTGTTTTTTGTAACTTTTTTTTCTCTAATACAAGTAGAATGTTTTTTTATTCAAATTGCATGCTCCGTTCTCTCACAAACTTAATTGCCATTTTCCGCACTTTTTGCTGTATATCTCTGAAAATCTGAACCAAATTTTGCCAAAAACTAATCAGCACGTCTCCTTATCAACACGAATCGATTGCTTTATGAAAAACTCGAATCGGTTGAGCGGTGCTCCCAAAAACGTCGACAAAAAATTGTATCCATTCATTGTCCACATCCATTTTTTCTAAGATATACCAAAATATTCAAAAACTTCTGAAACGTAAAGATATGCAAATTTTTTTTTATTTTTGGAAGATTACTATAACTTACTCTACGGTTAGTTAAAAATATATTTTCAATCCTAACTGGAAATAGCCCATTCAGGGCATTGCGGTGCGAAATGGCAATGGTAATGGCTCAGACTATTATTCCCTGAATCGAGTTGCAGTTTAACTCAGCTCAGGGACCTGCCCTTAGACAGTTGTACCTAGTATCATTCATTTATATTTTTATATATTATTATTATGTATATTTTGACCTGATTATTATTATTATTATTATTATTGATATTTTTGGAGCATCAACTTTCATAGGCTTTTTTAATCATTTGAAGAAATATATCCAAATTTAAATTATGTAAAACGTCATAAAATAACCCAAAAGACTTCACATGAGGTATACGATCCGTATTTATCTCTTTGAGCTTTGAAGCGTCACTTTAAAATAGCATACTACACGCCGTATGACAAAATTTGAAAAGCGATTTAAAACAAGGGCTAGTATATATTCCATATTTGAATACCATATTTCCTTTTCCTTTTGATTCACACATTTATTTTTTATCCCAACAATTATAATATATTATAAATTAATTTTTAGGCAATATTTTATGCCATCTCACTTAATTATATATTTTATGTCATCTTACTTACAATTATAATTGTAATAAAGGTAATTACTATTATCTAAATAAAAAATATTATTAACATTTTAATTATTTGCTCTGGAAAACTAGCAAAAATTTATTGTTTTACGAATTAATTACGAATAAACAGGCCGGTTTATCTCTACCAAATACTTATCACGACTACCAACTGATTTCTTTCAAATTTATAGTAAAGTGAAAATTTACTTTTTCGCATTTATACTATGCATATCAAACGCTAAATTAAATATTAGTTTTAGTATGTGGCTACATTTATTTGTTGTGTATTTCCATATAACAAATAAAATGCTCATATGTGACTACATTCAATAAATTGTAAACTGAAAGTTCTATCATAAATCAACAATTCAAAAACAAATATTTCATTAAAAATGTTATTTCAACAATACGTAACAATATTAAAAAACATGTATGTATCGGAATGAGTGAATGTAATATTATTGTGCGAAAGAGAATATGTAATATTACTGTTAAATTCAATTGCAAGTATATGGACTGATTTGATGCGAAATAGATCTACTGCGGTTTCTGCAATGGTTTTAATTAACATTCTGTAAACCCACAAGTGAGTAATTCGCAAAACTATTACTAAAACTAGCTGTAAGTGGAATTCTGTCTTAAGGCAATTCAGGCATCGTGCCTTGAGGCAAATTACTGGAACTTCCCGTACCAAAAATTATTATTTTTTTAAAAACGATTAACATTTTTGAAAAAAATTCACTTTTAAAAAATAAGATTTTTGAGAAACTATAAATTGGACAAAAAATTACTTTTTTATGAAAAAAAAAATTAAAAAAAAAAAAAAAAAATTTTAATTTTTTTTTTTTTTAAAATTATTTTTTTATTTTGACATATTGTGAAATATCTGAACTTTTTTTTCAAAGCAATTGTACTGCTTTAACTGCATAGGGACAAAATATAAAGCGCATAAGCGCCGCGTCGCTCTCTAACGCATAAGCATTGGTACGGAACCCATAGGAATGTTAAAAAAATGTATACTTATTGTTAAAATCTCTATAAAATATCTGATAATTTGATGTGCATATGTCTAATAATCATTTTTGACCGCCAAATGGCTCATTTTTTTACTTTTTTCTTGATATCTCCGAAACCGCAAGACCTGCCTTTATGAAAATTTTATCGATTATTCATCTTGTCAAGACAAGTGAAATGTTTTTTGAATTATTCAAATCGGACGCTCCGTTCTCTTAAAAACTGAGTTACCGTTTTCGGCACTTTTTGCCCCGTATCTTCGGAACGGCTAGACCTGCCTTCGCCAAAAACTAATCAGCACGTCTCCTTATCAATACGAGTCGAATGCTTTTCGTATTATTCAAATCGGTTGATCCGTGTTCCCGAAATCGTCGACGAAAATTTGTATCCGCACATACATACACACACGTACATACATACATACATACATACATACATACATACATACACACACACACACACACATACATCCATTTTTTCTAAGGTATGCCAAAATGTTCAGAAACCTCTGAAACGTAAAGATATATAAAAATTTTCATTTTCGATTTTTTTGCGATTACTATAACTTGCCCTACGGGAAGTTAATAATTGATTATTATTATAATTTAGATTTAATAGTAGGCGTATCATATGATTTTTTATCTTTCAAAATATTCTAATTATTCTGACATACCTTTTAAGATAAGATCAGGATTTGTCACGTTTTTTGTAATATAAATTAATCAATTTAAATTATTCAAAAAAGGTTAAAGCAGTACTGAGAGAGTCTATTACTTTATGGGAAAGGCAGGTACAGCCGTTTCGTAAATTTGTAGAAAAATGCAACATATTTAAAAAAAAAACGAGTTTTGGATATATGTAAGGTAGATCGAGGTTTACAGGTCTGCGGATAAGAAGGTCTACCACCAAAATCTCAAAAACCAGTTTCACATTTTTTGAAAGAAGAGGGAAGAATAAGGGATGTATAACCAACCATCACCTTGATTCTTACGATGTTATATCATGAGATAAAAGGCAATTTTTAAAAATCCATAACAAAAGTATTTTCTTTCGTCGTTATTTATTTTGGTTATGAGCACAGTTGCTTAATTTACGAGACCTTAATATCATTTTTAAGTACACGTTTCTTAATTATTTTGTAAGATGTATTGTTAGATTTAAGTTAGATTCAACAGTTTTTTTATATAACTTATATAAAAGATTACATATGGGTTGGGTAAGGACCAACCTTGATCCTGGCATAGATGTAAACAAAAAAAAAATAGAAAAAAAGTAAATTAAGTTAATAAAAGCAAATTTACAAGAGATGTATTTAATAAATAGTTATTTCGACTACACTGATGATTATTTATGACAAAATACCAGATCAAAATTATATACAGTGTTATTTCTGTAAAAAATGTACACAGAAAATTTATATTTTCCACTGGTTAAATAATGTAGCTATTATTTCGTAAAATCTCATTAAAATTCAATGTAAGACATAGGACATGTTTGTCCCGTGGTTGTCTAATTTACCTCGTTTATGGGGTGGAAAAATTAAGGTGATAAATTTTTGAAAAACTGTAGAAAAACATTTCTACAATGATGAATTAGCTAAGAGTTTTAGCCCGAGATTTGTTGTGATTTAATTAGTCAAATCAGGCTTTTGTACCCCAGACGACAGTATTTTCTAAAAAAATCATAATAATATCGTATATAATGTAAATTGTAAAAATAAAACGTAAATTATATGCAGCATAAATATTTATCAAAAATTCAGTTTGATTTAATATATCTACCATCCTGAACTTCTACAAAAATGTTAAACGTGTGATTTGAGCCTCAAAAATCTTTCTCAAATTTACCTTGAAAAGAAAACCAAAGATTGACCAAAAACGGGTGCTCCAAGGTGCTCAAAATTTGCACCTCTCTACATACGCCCCCGAGGGCACCGCGAGCTCCGCATGCGCCCCTTCCAACGTATTTCATGGCAAACAGCTGCCCCGTATCCCGCTTCTGTACTATGCAGACCTACAAGAAAAATCATAAATCAACAGTAATACCATCTACGTCTGAAAAATGATGATGATACAGAAATAGTATTAAGAATGTGCAATACACAAAGTCTGTGGATATAAGAAATCGCAATGCTAACACAAAAAGGATTCGAGGTTGAAGCAATATTGAAGTTTGACATCCAACAATTTTTTATTTGAAAATCAAACTAAAATATAGTTCAATAATTAATTGAATTCCACATTTAAACAACGTTCTGTATTTATATGCATATATGATAAATTTATAATTTCAATTATTTTGATTGAAATAAGGTTATAAATCAACAATAATTTGTGAATTGTGATGAAATATAATATACACACACTGGTATATTGTATCAATGGTTAGTTGTATCAATGTTAGAGCAAAATTTTGTGCTGTGTAGATATTTTTAGATGTAAAATACCAAGTTCAATATCCACTGATGATGACATCAAACTGTATGTCGAAACGTTTGATATTAAAGATTATTTTATAGATCTTCGTTTTTTATTTGTTTGATGTATCGCCCTTAAAGAACTTACTCACATATCCTCACATAACATCAAAATTAACTACTAAATCAATATATATATATATATATATATATATATATATATATATCACATCGATAATCGGACAGCACGCCTGTCTCATCATCAGACACCCGAAAATCATCTTGAACTCTAAGACAACAACTGTACAAAGAACTTCGCCTTTGTAGAGGACAAAGTTACTAGATCACAACAAAAAGTCCTTGACACTAATATACAAACTTATATTAAATTTATAATAACTATATATATATATATATATATATATATATATATAATCCTTGATTTTTCATATGTTTCGACATAATATTTGATGTCATCATCAGTGAAAACATTGCAGACTCGCATCAGTTAGCACAAACATGTATTACAAAAAATTGTCATTAATAATAAATTTATAAAATAGGTGTAAAGCAGTTTAACAAAATTAATATATTAATGTAAATATTTTTCGGCTTGATAACAATCAAATACGATGAGATTCAAATCAGGTTGTAAAGGGCTTCATTCGAGTTGGCCCATATATATGTGTATATATATATATATATATATATATATATATATATATATATATATATATAATAGGGGAGACTGAGTATGGCTGTGCCTGTTTTCTTTGATCAGCAATATGTTTACCCGTTATAGCTGGTAAAAAAGTAAATTAAATTTGAACATTTGTCTATTTGGTAACTCGAAAAACTGTCCTTAAATACGATGGATTAGTCATAAAATCAAATCATACGAGAAAAAGGCGAGTATCATAACCGTCCACATCCCCAGGAAGGTTATGTCAGACTTAAATATAGGTCAAAAACAATATGTTTAAATACCAAATTAGTTTATAACGAATTTTGTTGTTAGAAATGTGCACCACAGCAAGACATTCATCATTTAAACTAAGCTTATGAATATAATATATACAATATACAACAATTTTTTTTTAACAAAGTATAGTATAACAAATAATAATATTAATTTGGAAAACGTACTTGAACTGATTTTCCAAGGCGCACATCATTAAGATTTATTTTCACTTAACAAAAAAAATCATGAATAAAATAAAATTATAAATATTCACATAGTGGCAATTCACAATTTAATATCTTATTCTTTATGAATTAAAAAAAATCACTTTCAAACTATATTCTAGATTTACTAAAACAACACGAGTTATGCTTTTTATGTAGTGGATTGACATGCAGGACAAGAAAACACAATGTTGTTTAAAATTGATATATTTGATATATTATATTGAGCAGTCAATATCTTTCAGGTTATGTTTTCCATACAAAAACTAATAATTTGGGGCGTTCGATTTCTGAGAAGGTGTCAACTTCTCAGAAATCGAACGTCCGCCATGGTTAAAGTCCAGGCAAACGTATGGTTATAAATTAGAAAAATGTGTTATATTATTGAATTTTGCATTTTTTTTACAAATTTGGTATCTTTAATTATTGCTATCATAAAATTCGAATATTATATAGAATATAGAAACCAATCAATACTTGATACAATCCGGGTCCCGTTAAGGTATATTTCGTCAACGGGTTCTAGTTAAAAAACTAGTTTATTTCAACGATTTAACGCTAACAACGACGTAGGAAGGATTTAGAGTAGGAGGGGACAGAGTTCATATAGAATTGATAGTATTATGTCTGCTGCATCTTAGTGAAATCACTTTGTTCGGATTGAATTTTTTTCACTGTCTTTTTCGTATTTTGTCTTACTTGTTAGTTATGTTAGATTTTTCTTTGACCTGAAAAGAACAAGATCCACAACCATATGTTACAACCATACACAATGCACACTTTTGAAGACAAATCATCATCATGACTGAACTAAATTATTTAAGCAAAAACTAATTGCTATCAATTAACTACTAATCCCCAACTTACAGTAAAATTACAACAAACTAAGTGATCTATCTGTATACAAATAAGTTATTTTTAAAAGAAATCGACCAGAGGAACTTATTTTTACTTTGACTAAAGGTCTACAGATCATGTTAAATTAGTGAGTCAATAATAGAATTTAATTAGTGATGCAATAATAGAAACATGTTCGTATAAATTTACTTCATCTTTGGACCTTTGGATCCTATCTCAAAATCAGTATGATATGACGAGTGTCACTAGTCACTACCATACCCGGGTGCAACCGTGCCCAGTTTCCCCTACTAGCATATAATATCAATAATAAATTCTTTCTGATAAAAGTTTTAAACTTTTTTTAAGCACGACAAGAAAAAAGTTATTCTGCCAATATATTTAGATATATACGAGTATATTCATTCTACACTTTTGAACTTTTTTATTTGGGCTATCATTGTCATAAAGCATACGATACCGCCTTTGATCGGATTTTTATATCAGTACAGGTTACTGCCATTGTGATCATAACGCAAATTTAATGTTGGCTGTAATCTAATATTGAATAATACACAGCTATCGTTTCCGGCAAAATGAGATATACTTAACACATTTTATGTGTTGTCTTAATGTGCGTTTTATAGGAGCATAGCTTTAACTTAATCCAATTTCTCAGAAACTACAGCAATATTCCTAAAAGACATGCATTGAATGAAAACAATATACTTTTTGAATGCTTTAAACTTACGAACGTATTTTTCTGACAGCAGTAAAAGATTCTATTTGTGAACATTTTTTCAACATTTCCGCACATTTATTTCTACTGTGGTTGAATAGTATATATGTATATGTTGAAATATATATATATATATATATATATATATATATATATATATGTTAGAGAAGTTAGTTTTGATGTTGAGAAATATGAGTAAGTTCTTCAAGGGCATACATCAAATAAAAGGCAAAGATTTAGAAGTTAATCTTTAATTTTTCCAACGACTTAAATTTTGCCTTTTATTTGATGTATGCCCTTGAAGAACTTACTCATATATATATATATATATATATATATATATATATACGAGTATATATATATATATATATATATATATTCTCTATGGTCTTGAATTTGATGTTGATATAACCATTAATACCATCAATAAAAAATGTATGAATGTTTTTTTCAAAATTTATTTTAAAGCCATAAGCTTAGCCTAACAACCTAGCCTAACAAAGTGAATTATATAGTTATTCCAATTCTTCTGGTGAATACTTCTGTCGAAATGCCAGATCAAGGCTATGATGTTATACAGTGTGATCTCTGTAAAAATGTACCCATAAAATTTATGTTTCGTATTGGTTGAATAATGTAGCAATTTGTAATTTTGTGAAATCCATTTAAGATTAAAAATTGAAGGAGTTTTACTGATCTTACTTAGTCAGGTCAGGTGATCATAGTCAGGTTGCTATGATGAATTTTAGGCCATTCAAGTTACTATTAGTACTGTTAACAGATTTATTCAACTGAATATTTTTTGAGTCAATCCAATCAATCCAATAAATAAAAAATAATTATGATATAAATGGAAGTATGTCTGTGTGTCTGTGAGTCTGTGTATTTGTTATGCATTCATAAACCACACGTCCGATCGCTGTGAAAATTTAGGCAAATTGCGAGACGGGTTTTCGGATATTTTGATTGAAGCCAAGTGCGTATGTAAAACACACATATAACCCTAAATTTTCAACCTCCTACCACAAATCCCTATTTTGTAAGAATTATTTCATAGTAATTTTATCATTTTTCATGTACCATACGTCTGATCCCCGTAAAAATTTGGACATTTGTTAAGTAAACCGCAGACAGATTTTTGGATATTTTGATTTGATCCAAGTGATAGAGGTTACCCGCTCCGAAAACATTTTAATTTTTTTTTTGGTCAATTTTATTTTTTTATTTTTTTTATAATGCATAAATAAATAACATAAATTAGAGAATTTATAAAATAGTAGACAGGTCAACTCGTAAATAGGCGAATATTTAAACAGATAAACAGGCTAGCAGGTTGATTGGAAAACACGAAGAACGGGATGACAGGTACATTGGCAAACAGGTAATTTGATTGACAGGTGAATTGGTAGGAAGGCAAAATGGTATTTTGATTAACAGACAAATACCAAAAGTAAATTGGTAGACAGGTGAATTGTTGAACAGGTATTTGGTGGACACGTAAACTGGTGGACAAATAAACTGGCAGGCAGGTAAACAGATAAATAGGTAGATAGACAGATTTATTAGTAGATAGGCAAACTGGTAGGCAAATAAATTGGAAAATATGTAAAAAAGTAGACAGAACAACTAGTAGATATACAAGTATGCAGACAGATAAACTAGTTGACAAGTTAATTAGTAAACATGTAGAACGGGATGCCATGTAAATTGGTAAACAGGTTAATTGGTAGATATATCGAACGAGATGACAGGCACGTTGGTGAACAGGTAAATTGGTTGACAGGTAAAATGGAGTGTTGATAAACAGGTTGATAGACAGGTAAAGTGTTGGACAGC